GCTCTAGCTCTAGCTCTAGCTCTAGCTCTAGCTCTAGCTCTAGCTCTAGCTCTAGCTCTAGCTCTATCTCTATCTCTATCTCTATCTCTATCTCTATCTCTATCTCTATCTCTATCTCTATCTCTATCTCTCTATCTCTATGTCTCTCTCTCTATCTCTATCTCTATCTCTATCTCTATCTCTATCTCTATCTCTATCTCTATCTCTCTATCTCTATCTCTCTCTCTATGTCTATCTCTCTCTCTCTCTATGTATATCTCTCTCTCTCTATGTACATCTCTCTCTCTCTATGTACATCTCCGTCCATCTCGGTGGCTCGCTGGCTGACTGGCTTCCTGGCTTGCTGGCTAGCTGGCTAGCTAACTATCCTATCTACCTAGTCAACAAGCACTCCTCAGAGTGCTCGACCAATCCCTGCTCACAGCCACCATCCCCGACGACTGGCGCCAAGCAATAGTCGTCGAGATCTACAATGGCAAAGGTTCACTCACAGACCCAGCAAGCTACCGACCCATGTCCCTTTTCAGCACATCGTACAAGCTTTTCGCAAAGATCCTTCACATTCGGCTGCAGGCGGCCATTGACGACCGACGTAGAGACACCCAGTTCGGTTTCAGAGCGGCAAGGTCTCCCCCACAGCCAACACACATCATTCGCCGACTAATTGAGCGGGCAGAGGCAACCGGACAGCCCCTCTGCACCATCCTTTTGGACTGGGAAAAGGCCTTGAACAAGATACACCCACAGGCCCTGCTCACAGCGCTTGACAGCACCACTTATCAAAAACAGCTACACTCCACCACAGTTCACAGTCGCAGCAGCTGGTCGCAACAGCAGCAAGGAAACAGTACAATCGGGCATACGGCAGGGATGTCCACTCTCACCGTACCTCTTCCTGGTGGTGCATAGGATGATTATGCACGACGTGGACACAGAACTCACAGCAAACTGTGAGTTTCTTCCTTGGCTATATGACTTTGCCTATGCTGACGACACAGCCATCTTAGCAGGCAAAGCCACCAGAGCAGAACAACTGCTCCACACCTTACAACGAGTGGCCTCACACAGCAACCTGCGCCTCAACCTCAAGAAGTGCGTCCTTTTACGCTCCCCCACCTCACGCAAAACAGTCACCTTCACAAACGGTACACCTGTCACCATAGAGCAGCACTCCAAGTTCCTTGGAGTCGGATAGGCACACAAAGATGTTACAACACGCCTTGCTAAGGCACGAAAGCACTTCCACTCGCTCCACCAGTTTTGGCGCAACACCGACGTCACGCTTAAGTGGAAGCTCAGAAAATACAACGCAGTCTTCATACCACTCTACACATACGGGCTCGAGTCAGCAGCCCTGACCACCGGCGACTACAACAGATTGGAAGCCTTTCATTCACAATGCCTGCGTAAAATCCTACACCTCAAAAGCAGCTACTACACACAAGTCCTGCAGCCAACAGCCCGCACTTATACCAACCAAGAGGCTCGCGCCCTCACAGAGCAAACCCCCCTCACACACCACATCCACAAAGCACAAATGAAGCTTTTCGGGCACATTCTTCGATCCAATCCGACCAGTATAGAACGGAACTGCTGTTTTACACATACTTTTCAGTGCAGAGGGGGAACGGTAGGAGCAGGCCTCAAGGTAGGAGGCGAGTCCACTGGACATAACCGAGTATCAAAATATTTTGGCACTGGCTTTTAAAGTCCTCCCCACAACCCCCAACCCGAAGCCCTACCTTCCCGTTTTGTTATCTACAAGCTCACGGGCTAGCTTTAGACCGCCACTTTTGGAGTAACTTAGTGAGGCTGCTACAATCTGCGGGAGAGTTGCAGCCCCAAAAAAACCTATGTATTAATCTATCTATCTATCTACCTATCTATGTATCCATCCATTTATTCATCTATCTATCTATCTATCTATCTATCTATCTATCCATTTATCTACCCACCTATCTATCCATCTGCTTATCCATCTGCTTATCCATCTGCTTATCCATCTACCTATCTACCTATCTATTTATCTATCGGTCTATCTACCTATCTACCTATCTGTCTACCGAACTATCTATTTATCATCTGAGGGGCTGGGTTGTCCGAGCGCACACATTCACGAGCAGACGCGAGCACACGCGAGCACTACGCGAGCACACGTGTCCACCCCGTCCGTAACCAGCATCATCATTGCCCCTCGGCATCCAAGGGGCCGGCATCATGGGCATCAATAAGGCTTTTTGCACCGGCATCATGACAATCATGGAAACATGGTTTCTCACCGGCGGGCTACCGTGAGATTCGTGACGACGTGCTCGCGTTCTCATTCTCCCCTGGGCGTAGGTACGTGTACCCATGTGTACATGCATGCATGCTTGAAACATGTCTGTAGCTATTTTGGTTCGTTCATGTAGTTTTTCACAAGTAATCGTCGGTGGTGTTCGTTTCTTTGTTTCTTCGGACGGTGTGCCACATGTGTACAGATAGGTACACGGACAACAAAGCCAATCAGGTCGTCCCCAAGCCTTTTCGAAGGGTTTGCCTCCCGAAACCAGAGGTTTTTGACTTGAGGATTCCCGACGGGGGCTGTCAGGGTGTGGGACACACTCCGTAGCCACAACTTACTGCTTAGGGAAATCAAAATTGATACAGAAAGACTCTTGCAGATGTATAGACAGATAGCCGGGTAGGTTGCTAGGTAGGTAGCTAGGTAGGGAGGAAGGTAGGCAAGTGCAGAGACATAAATCCGGAAATGCGGTTGCAATCAGAGGCCTCTCATGGCTGCGCTTCAGAGAGCTGCGGTCTCAAACTCCTGGCCTTTTGCTAGAGCAAACGGCCGTCCCTGCAGATCCTTTCTGAATCTTTGCTCCTGCTATTCTGATCATTTTACAGGTTCTTTGCTGTATTGCTAAGGCTCTCAGACCTGAAGGCAGTATCGAAAGCGGCGAAGGCGGACTGCGGGGACGTTTCGTCTGGGAGGAGCAGTCCCAGTTTTGCAATCAAGCATGGAGCCCACGACTCACGAGGTCCGGCTTGGGAACCGCAAGCGGAGAATTGCGAGGACAGGGGCACTGCAGCTGCGTCGCTGAACGGTGCTGTGCCGGCTGCTTTGAGGAGTCTGGCGCTTCGGAGGTTTTAGCATCGCTGCATGAAGCAAGGGGCAACTGGGCTGGCAAGCTGGTGCAGCGTAATCTGAGTGAAGCAATGCGTCCAGCTATTTTCCAATCCCGAGATGTTGAAAGTCCTGACCATTGCAGGCGACGCGACGTCCGCCCTGCGGCTTCTAGCCGCTGCCGGCAGCCAGCGGGTCTTTGCACTGCTGCGGCGGCACCTGGGCCAAGGCCGTGAATTCTCAGGTGTCAGCTGATCTGATGTGAAGCTCACACCAACAGGGGTTGTTCAGCACCTATGCGGGATCCCGCGAAGGTGCAGACCTCGGGGCGGTTTCGGCAGTGCTGCCACGGTGGCCTGGCCTTGAATCCTGGGGGACGGGAAGAGAAGGGGGAGTGTAGGCGTATGGATGAAGCTCTTGGCCTGAGAAGGATTGTCGAACTCCGTGGCATGGGATTGACATGTTCTGACTGCCACTTTTGCATTAATGCTATGTCTGTAGGCGTGTGTGCCTTCGTGCACTTAGATGGTTCATGACGGCAGAATTGTAGGCACTGCGTGTTTCCAGTTATTGCACGAGGTGCCAAATTGACAGCATCTCATGTTACCAGGGTTGCTACAGATGTTGGGGTCGGGAAAAGAACAGTGAGTGTCAGCATGTGCAGTGGAACAGCTGCAGGAGAAACTGTGCGCCTACAGATACAAGCTGCGAGCCAGTGCATGCGTCACAAATACTGCTTGTTTATGAGGGGAGTCAGAATCTGAGATCAGCTATTTTGGAGTTTCTTTGGAGTTTGAGTTTGTGACGGAGGCTCGTTGCGCTGCATCCTGGCCAGATGGCCGACTTGGCAGTGCAGGGCTCAGTTTGTCGTACCATTTGAGGCCGAACCTCACATAGTTCGAATTAAAAAGCACAGGGGCCTCAATCGTTGGAATAGGGTTTTGGGGCTCTTCTACACTATGATGAGAACAAGGAAACCCTAACCTAAACCCTAAACCCTATACCC